CCCATATTCCGTAGTTAAAATAGGAGTCTGACCAATACTCAATTTTTTTTTAATTTTTTTACGTACTTCACTTTCATTGAGATGACATAAACTGCAATCTGGCACAGTATTTGGTGAATGTTTATATACAATTTTTAATCAAATGGTTTACGCCACTGGCTCTGAGTAAACAATAAGATTCCGTCTGACACTTTGGACTTAATGTAGAACTGTGCTGTCAGCCTGAGTTCCTATTCTGATGATACGCTTGTAGACTGCATGATTTAGATAATTTATGACTCCCAGTCTCAAATGAGAAATTCATATATTTTTGGAAGAAATAAAAGCTCTAGTTATACTGTTCCTGTGGCTTGTTTCATAAAGAATTGTGCCACTTATGGTAATTGCCTAGCCGTAAATGTTTCTGAGCCTTCCTGTTTGCTATTTACATTTCAGTGTTACAGCGCACCATCTTCCCTGACTCAGTTGCAATTCACTCTATCACAATGCTCTTTCACAACTACGACAATCTGGACCAACATCTTTTTGAGTCTATCGTGACTATGGAAAGGCAACTGCGACTTTTTATCTCACAATTCTGACTTTTTTTTCTCACAATTATCAGTTTATATCTCTCAATTGCGAGTTTAAATTTTGCAATTATTACTTTATATCTCGCAATTCTGAAAAAAGTTATCTTTATTTTTTTTTATCCTGTGGTGGAAAAAAGCTTCCACAGAGATGATATTTCTAGTCAGATTTGTCCACAATTTGTCTCCATCATTTTCTAATCAGCATCTAAAATGTAACTGTGAAAGTATAAGAGTTATGCACTGTACTTTCCCTGAATTAAAACTAATGCAAACAAAAATTATTGGTTTTATGAAGATATAAGTGTCAGTTAAGTGGAGCAACAGAATATAGTGCTCCAGCACACCTATTGCATGAAATGCAGAAGCACAGTGAGTAAAATGAGCATGTGTAATTATCAGGGAGTCTGTCTGATGTGTGGCGAAAGCGCCATCTGTTCTTTATTTAGTGAGAATTATGCTGTTGAGAAAGTGTCTTTTTCTACCATCAGTGCTGCTGTCCGTCTGCTGTAAAAAAATAAAGCTTCAATTCTTTAACTTAACAACTTCAGCTATTTTGTGGAGAGAGAGAGAGAGAGAGAGAGAGAGAGAGAGAGAGAGATTATTCGTTGTAACAGTTATCTGTGGTATAAAGTTGCTATTTGTGTTAGCATATACCTTTCTTCTCATCTTTTGCTGGGCTAGTGTCCATTTTTTCTGTCTTCTCTTCAGATTCTTCTGTAATGGAGTAAGACAATATTGATGCTGTGTGAGATCGAGGTAGTGCAAAATTTAGAACTGAAGAACTGGCTCACTTTCAATTCAAGAGAATTTGACAGTTTATGTATTTCTTTGAATTTTAAATGCATCTAAATTCAAATTGCAATCCCGCATCTGGTTTTGCTACACATGGGGACCTTTACCAGAAAAGTCATTTTCATGGAGTAGATATTAAGAAAACTGATATTAAGTCAAATCAAATGGAAAATAAATTTGTATTTCTGTATTATTTTAGGTAGTGCTTAGCACTTCACCTTTGGTTTTGGATGCGTCTACACTGCTTGTGGCTTCTGAACTTTCAGCTTTGACATCTGAAGACGTGTTTTCCTTCAATTCAGTGGACTTCTCCTTGTCCCCATCCTTTTCATTTTCTTCATCTCTGCTTCCTCCATCCTTTTCTGCTGATGGTGAGGTGGTCTCTCTCTCCCTGTCCCTATTCTCCTCTTTCTTTGCTGGACTGGGGGATTTCTCACCTTCATCAGGAATCTCAATGATCTGAGAAAAAAAGAGGGGATGTGAGAATGAGAGTTGGAGACAAGAAGAAAGACTAAGTGAGACAGGCAGGTGTTTACAAAAGGAAAGTTTAAAAATACAGAGAAGAGAAACAGGAAGGTGAAGTGAAAAGTTGAGACTGTAAATAACAAGTACCTCATCCTCCTGTCTGGAGCCTTTTGTCTCCTTCTCTCCGTCCAGCTCCATCTTCTCCTCCAGCTCTTTTACGTCATCGCTCTTGGAAAGGTCTTCTGTTTGGATAAAAGGGAGTCAGATTAATGTGTAATAATTGGACATGCAGAGATACTAGACAAATTATCTGTGAATCAAGAACAAATCCTCTTCTGGGAATAGATTTTTAAAAATGCAACTTGTCATAAAAAGGTTGAATTATTTGAAATTATCTGTTAAGTTTAGTTTTTTTCTTCATGTTCACTGGACCACGTGACTTTCATTAGGAGCACAAAAATTCCACAAGAGGCTCAAGACAACAGGATGTCATAAATCAGACCCTAGCCAGTCTGAAGCAAGCCTAAACCACTCTTTCACAGAACAGTTTTCAACATTAACACAAAAGAACACTTATTGACAATTCCAAGGAGATTGTCAATTTTGGGGGCAAGTTATCAAGAATAATGGTCAAAAGAGATGCACAGCGTGACCGTCACATGGAAACATGTGATAGTGATCACAAGCTCTTCGGATTGACTTTTCCCCCCACCTAAGACAAAGAACAGACTTTCAGAGATTCCTACAGACCTCTTAATCTCTGGTCTTCATGCATTCACAGAATGGCACGGAAACTGCCTTTCCATGCACCTAAATGACACTAAAAAAACTCGAGCAACTAATCATTGCTGCTATATATATCTCCATGTTATGTATGTAACCTACATGTGACTTATCAGGTCTTAATCATTTATTGTGAATGTATTTTGAATAACTATTGAATAGTTTAAGAATTGCTATTCATGTTTAGTATGTGGGTGTTTGAATTTTCATGCTTGAAACGTTTATTCTAATCACTTCGTTGTCAAATGTATCATATTCTTGTTATAGAAATCATGTCCAAATGTATACTCTGCCAGAAACATTGCAACACCCCGATCTACAATTGGTCGAGACACCATTTGGGGTGTGTTAAACAGCCCGGTTTAAATACTCGGGACACCATCAAATCTCTCTCTTGGCTCTCTTCTTCAACCCCCTTCTTTGCTCGCTCTTTGTTTTTACTCTCCTCTTTTTAGTCATAGCTTTGAGCTATGCTTTTTTTTATCATGCTTCTTTAGCTTTTGAGCGTGCTCTGGCTTACACGCCAGCTCCTCCAAAACCATGAGGAGAAACGCCACCTAGTCACCTAGAAAAAATCCAAGTGAACATCAATCAGTACTCAATATTAATTTAAACCGCTTTAAATATGACTGCTACTTATTTCCTGTGCACTTCAATACTGGTCTGCGCTTGACTGTAGTCTGTCTGTCTGCTTATTGAGTTTATTTAACCCAAAATAACACAAAAATGTCCTGCTCGCACTTATCAATTTAATGGCAGAGAATGGTGACTTTAGTTTTTTTTTTTTAAGCGGATGCATATCTGTCGTAAAATAATCCTATGCATCTCGTGCAATATTCCAAGCATTCTGAAGGTATACTGAGGGTTTGATGAGAAACAAACCGAAATGGCAAGTTATTATATTTTATGAACACTTGCGTTGCAGTGCGAGTGCACAGCAGCTCACGCTGCGCACAAGTGCATATTCTTTTGAGATATAAATTATAATACATTTTACACATACATACATTTAGACTCTGCCCCAGTATGAGTTGTGTCGAGCTATTCATTAGCCTGTTTGTTTGATGAAAAAATACTAAATGTAGTTGCAATAAATGCGTTAAGAATCCATACAACTACAGCAGTGGAGGACTATTATTCTGATGTGTGATACTGCAGAAGAACTGATGATGGCATGGTTTGATCTTCGGCTGACCAATAAGCAGAAAGGGATGTTTAATTCCCACCCATGTGTAGAAATCGAATATTCAAGCTGTTTATTAATTTTTCCACCAAAGAATGAAAAACGAAAATTTAAGCTGAATTCAAATTTTTCGTGTTTTGGAAAAAAACAAAAATACGAAAAAGGAGCCGTTTTCTCATTTTTCTACTTTCAGTATTATATCAAAAAACGAATGATCGAATGATACACGGATTATTAAGCAGTGGGGCAGAATTCATTTTGGCAAATGCCCGCATTAAGATGGTTACGGCCTGATTCGCGTGGCACGCATACTTGCTCGTACAGCGCCAGACTAAACTTTAGTTATTTTTCGCGCCTTGTGCTTAAACGTTCAAATGCACAGTAATGTGTCAAAATGTCTCCTCATCAACACAGTCATTTGTGTTTTAAACGAACGTTAATAGTTAAATATAAAGCATGTGTAGTAGTAGGCTATATGAGATCCTAATATGATGAGATTTTAAAGGGATAGTTCACCCAAAAATTTAAATACTGTCATCATTTATTCAGCCTCAAGTTGTTCTAAACCTGTATGAATTTCTTTGTTGTCCTCAACATAAAAGAAGATATTTTGAAGAATGTTTGTAACTAGAAAGTTTCTGCCCCCCCGTATTGTATTTTATTTTTCATACTATGGAAGTCATGGGGGCCCAGCAACTGTTGGGTTACCAGTATTGTTCCAAATATATACTTTCACATTCAACAGCAGAAGGAAACTCATACAGGTTTAGAACAACAACATACCTTTAATTTGTGAGTGAGCTATTCCTCTAAAGCAGCCTAATTTAGCTGCTGTTTAAATTTATGTCAATGATGTTCAAACACAGGACACTCACTGTCCTTGACTGAATCATTTTTGTAAAACAAATAAGAATTATTGTATATTGAATTTATACAGTTAAGACTATTCAGTTTATTTGTACATGTATTTTATACAATATAATTTCTTATTCAGTGCTTTAAGTGTTTCAAGTAGGTCTATATTTTTGTCATTTGGGACTGTTTACTTGTCTTTGTCACAGATGGGCCAGGCTCAATCACCTCCCAATCACAGCGAACACCATCACCTGAGTTCTAATCACACGCACCTGTCACGGATCAACAATCACCCTCAGCTCTCATACAAAAGCACACACCTCACTTCACTCCAGTGTCGTTTCATCGAAGTGGACTCTCTCTCTCTGATATCCTTACTAGATACTTAGAAAGACTTTACCTGCCTGTGATACTTACCTCCTGTGTTTCCTCCAGTGTGTTCTCCTGTGTTCCATTCTCTAGTCCGTTCCCATCATCTGCTCTGTGGATTCCCCGCCCCCCCTCCGTATTCCAGGATTTTATACACGAGGTACTCCGGGAGTATCTGCCCAGGTCCGTCCTCGTCTACATAGATGACATTCTAATCTACTCCCAGAGCATGGTCAAACATCGCCACCGCGTTGCAGTGGTCCTAGAGCGCCGGAGAGAATTCCATCTGTTCCTCAAAGCCGAGAAGTGTTCCTTCCATCAGTCCTCGGTACGGTTCCTTGGCTATGTCATCGATGATGGTGGTATTCAGATGGACAAGGGGAAGGTTGAGGCCTTCCAAAACTGGCCAGTTCCAACCACCGTCAAGGAACTTCAACGTTTCCTGGGATTCGCAAACTTCTATAGAAGATTCATCTACCACTACAGCTCCATAACCAGTCCACTCACTAACATGCTCCAAAATAAGCCCAAATCTCTGTCCTGGACACCAGCTGCCATGGAGGCATTTGAAGCACTTAGGAAAGCCTTCACTTCTGCCCCGCTCCTCATCCATCCAGACCCCAATAAACCATTTGTGGTTGAGGTAGCCGCTTCCACTAGAGGAGTCAGAGGCATACATTCTCAGCAGCAGGGGACACCAGCCAAACTCCATCCATGTGCTTTCTCACGCAAACTCAATACCGGCGGAGAGGAATTATGACATCGGCAACAGGGAGCTCCTGGCTATCAAGCTAGCCATAGAGGAATGGAGGCATTGGTTGGAGGGAGCACATCACCCATTCTGCGTCCTCACTGACCATAAGAACTTGCAGTATTTACGAGATGCCAAGAGACTCAATCCTCGCGAGGCAAGATGGGCTCTCTTCTTCACTAGGTTTAATTTCACCATTTCCTATCGTCCTGGCCCTAAGAATGTGAAAGCAGATGCCCTCTCTCGCCTACATGCTCCGGAGGAAGTCAGTGAGGACCCAGAATCCATTATTCTCAAGGAAATCTTTGTAAGTCACATCCAATGGAAGGATAACCCAGTCACCTCCACCGATGCTTCCACGCCCACTCCGTGGTGGTCTCTTAGAATATCTTGTGGACTGGGAAGGTTATGGGTCAGAGGAACATTCATGGGTTCCCAGAGTTGACATCCTCGACCCCACGCTGCTGGAAGCCTTACACTCCACACATCCAGATGACCCTGGGCCCCGAGGAAGAGGTAGACCATCACGACGTCTGGGTTTTCGGCCCTCAGGAGCGGGCCATGGGGGGGTACTGTCACAGATTGGCCAGGCTCAATCACCTCCCAATCACAGCGAACACGATCACCTGAGTTCTAATCACACGCACCTGTCACAGATCAACAATCACCCTCAGCTCCCATACAAAAGTAAACACCTCACTTCACTCCAGTGTCTGATCTCGTTTCATCGAAGTGGACTCTCTCTCTCTCTCTCTCTCTCTCTGATATCCTTACTAGATACTTAGAAAGACTTTACCTGCCTGTGATACTTACCTCCTGTGTTTCCTCAGCATTTCTTCAGAACACATAAAATATATAATGTCATGAATGTCATATGCATATACCCAATTGTGTTATTATTAACACTGAACATGTGTCTTCTTTCAAAAAAATAACTGTAGGGGGAAAACCATGATGTGGCTTAAAAACAGCATATTGTGAGGTTCTTTTTTTATTTGTAGTATGCCCTTCTAGAAATTCAATCAATTTATGTATTTATTTATTTTGTTATCAAATTCCTAGAAAGCGAAGGAACATGATATGCATTCATACCATGTGGCTACACTACCTACCTTAGAGGGTTAAGTATATAGTCATACACACAGTCAGGTCCCAGTCATTTCAGAGGAGAGAAAAACTACAGACAGCAAGGAACTGTAGTGCCCTTCCCCATGCAGGGCATGACATATGTGTCTCCATTTCTCTCTTTTTTTTGAGTAAAATCCTCACAGACCCACTCAAGTGTCATTTGGTTTAAAAGGATATAGTGAGGTAATACATACAGAAGGTCTGGTGTGAAGTGAGTCCTCCAGCTCCTCTAGTCCCTCTGAACCATGAAGAGTGCGATTGGTTACACTGCACTCAGTTCGACTAATTTGCGGTGTGAATGTAATTGGATTCATAAATTTATGAATTAATTTCCATAGACGGTTATAAAATTAGCCACTGCAAGATGTTGAATCTTTACCCCTCACGGGTAGGTTTTTTATATTTGGTCCCCGAGGCACAAATAAGTAAGTCTTTAATATATGACTCTATTAGACTAAGTCCTGGCAGCATTGTGTAAAAGCAGGATAAGCTTCAGGGGAATGATGTTGTAAAGGACAAAACATTCCTCATCTATCAGCAAAAACCTCAGCGGTAATTGATGGAGTCCTCTTTCTGCTCCACTTCCTGCCATTCTGCCATTGTCAAATAGAGATATTTTGATGGATGATGTCTTTTTCTGGACCATGATATATTCTTAACATACTTTTTTTTTTACTCTATTTTCTCACACTGTTTATTCTCATACTCAAAACATCTCAAGGATGCATGTGTGAGTGCATGCCTGTTGAAACTCCAATGTCCTTTTTTTTAGCATAAACAAGATGCACGCCATTGTCCTAAAGTCTGAGCTCAGTAAGAGTTGGCTTTTAAAATAAATAAAAAATTGTATATACTTCAAGGTTGCATTTATTTGATCAAAACTACATCAAAGAAATACTCCTGTGAAATATCATTACAGTTTAAATTAACTGTTTTCTATCTTTAATATCTTAAAATATATAAAATGTATAATTGAAAAAAGTATAATAACTATATAAATGTATAATAATAATAATAATAATAATAATAAATCCCATCATGGCAAAGCTGAATTTTTAGCAACCATTGCTCTATAGTCTTCAGTGTTACATGATCCTTCATTTGCTGATTTAGTACTCAATAAATATTTTATTATTATCATCACAGTATCACAGTTGAAAATGGTTGTGCTGCTTAATGAAGTACGGAAACCATCTTTACAGTCAATACAGTAATTATTTTCAGGATTCTATGATGATCAGAAAGTTTGAAGAAGAGCATTTATTTGAAATATTTTGCAACATTTTAAATGTCTTTATTAATGTCATTTTAACAATTTAATGCATCCTTGATGAATAAAAGTATTAATTTCTTTCAAAAATCGTTGTAAAGTCAAACTGAAATATGCACTCTCTGAATGAAAATAAATAGTACGTAAATAAATAAAGAAAGAAAGAACCTTTCTAGGTAAATTAGGTTTTGACATTTTAAGAGTCAATTCAGGGTGTCCTAATCACAGAGGTGGAACAATGTTGCCCAGTTCTAGAACTCCTACTGCCTCCTCAAGCACCTACAGTAGCATTTAGAACAGACCTACAATATTGGGAACTGTGGCATGCAAATGCATTCAATACTAAATCAATAAATACAGAGCACATTCAGTGAAATCTTTTGCATATAGTATTTCCTATGAACATTCTTTAGTACAAAATAAATGCCCTTATCAGGGTCTGGATATGACTGAAATCATCCCTTTCATTTTCATTATACTTAAAGAGTTCACTCACAAAGAAAATTCTGTCATCATTTATTCATCCTCAATGACCTTCAAAATGTACATGACTTTCATACTTCTGTGGAACATGAAATCAGATATTTAGAGTATTTTATCAATATAACTAGTCCTACTTGCACCACTCCAAGGGGGATTTGAACAAGCGTAAAACGGCATGGGAGGCGGAAGAACTACCAAGGATGTTGCAGACTCTGGTTTCAGAGTCTAATGCACCTTTTCAGGCTGGTGAAGTGAGATTAACCTGCACAGCTCTTCCTAGCTTGCCTCCGTTACACTCACCTGCATAAACCTCACTCTCATCCGAGTCATGGTAACTGGTCCTACTTAACCTGTTTCAAGAGGGATTTGAACTAGCATCAACCAACATGGGTGTGCTGACAGGAATACTAAAAGTGTCGCTTTCTAGCTGGACTCCATCACATTCACATCCCTAAACTGCACTTCCATCTAGGTCACAGCACCAATGCAATCGGTGCTACGCACATCAATCCAAGTGGGATTCATTCGAACCTGCATCAACCAGCATGGCAGACGGCAGAGCTAAAACACTAAAGATCACGTGAATGAGGTTTACTAGAACAGCTCTTCCTAGCTGATCTCGGTTGCACTCAATTCAAAATCATACTCTCATCCGGGTCACGGCACCGATATAACTGGTCCTACTCTCACCACTCTGGATTCAAGAGTTCAAATCAGCATCAACCTAGCTAACAGCTCATCCTAGCTAGCATCATTTATAATTATTGTCAGTGGTGTCCGATGATGTTTTGAGCACCATTGACTTAATTTGTATGGCCAAAAACAGTTAAGAGGAAACAAAGTCATAAGGGTTTGCAACCCTTGAATTCGAATTTTGGGGTGAACTTTTCTTTAAAACTTTCCTGTCCACCTATTTTATCTCCCTCATTTTCTATGCTTTTTTATCATCTTCTTCTGTTGGACAGCATATCCATACCCGTAGGCCCCTACCTATCATCTTTAGCCTTCTTTCTATCTGTCTCATACTTCATATTAAGACAGGTGTCCAGTCTACTCAGTTTGACTGGACAAGGATCAGTAGTGAGTGGGAGACTGATGAGGGGCCCTTTGGGTGATGGAGTCCAGACACTCTCTGCTCATGAAGGTCTCTCCTGCTCTGATGTATGGTTAAACTGTCACAGGAATCAAAGCTGTGTCTGGTGGGTATTCAGAGTGACAGGTTACTCAGGTGAAGGGCACCAGTGTTTTATGGGTGGACAATGACAGCTCAGCTGAAGACAGACATGTGACACTGACAGAAAGTTAAGGAAGATGTAATGTATGTTTGAGCTATACATTTCTCTCTAGATTATTTCTCTATTAGGCAGTTCAGAATAACTTTCATCGCTTGTCACAGGATGGGTCAGAAACCCAGACACAAGTCTGATTCCTCATCCCGCACATAAATAAAACATGGCCTGCACTTCATGTTGTCCCAAAGCAGGAATGCAAATTCTGATCAAAACCTTTTACTCAAGTTTCATCTGCATTTCTGAGTTAAGAGTGCCACAGATGAAACTCTGAAGTGAAGGCTGATTTCCCAAAACACATGTGAGGGATATATTTTTTTCATTTTCATGTCTGATGAAATGTGAATTTGCCCTTGACCAGAAGCTGCAAGGAAGAACAGAGGCAAAAACGGGCCTCCATAAATACTCTGGGATTGAACAGAGGAGAAAATATACTATATATCACATATATCACAGTAGCAAAGAACACATTGTCATCCCCAGGATTCCAACAACCTCGGACAGGGGAAAACGTGGAGACTGCTTAACCGAGATCAGGGTCGGAGAGAATTAAATCCCCCTGTTGTGAGTCCACACACACACACACATCATCACCTCCATACATGCCATCTGTCCTCCAAAAGCATGGCAATCAGATCCATCAGGGTCGCTATCTGCAGGGCAGCAAACCCACGTGCCCATGCCATCTGACAAATACACTGAGCTCTCTCTTACTAACACCCAACTCTCTGCAGGAGCTGGCAAACAAGAGGTCAGATTCTCCTATGTCTGCATATAGAGTACAGCATTATTAACTGGTGTTGTTGTTTGTGGCCAGATCTATGCTGATCTATAAAAAA